ATGTGTAATTATGCGTGCGTGCGCGTGTAACTAATGACCGCCGATCGACCGACAGAAGTACTTTAACCGCTGATAGCTCGTATCGCTGTTAACGCGTGCCTTCGTTGCATATGGCATTCTAGATGGTAGATACAATTCCATTTTTTGTATCGAAAAGAAATATTCAAATTTTTATTTCCCTTACTGTCGATATTGGCAAACTTGAAGAATGAAGATTAAAAACTGATCCTGATATTTTTTAAGCTATATTTATAGTGCGCGTGTAAAAAAAATAATCATATAATTCTATTTTATAAACTGATTATTCTATTTTTATATTTTTCTATGTTAAATAAAAAACTCAGCTTTTTTTGAAAAATTTAATCCACACTCAAATATCTATATTCAAAGACTCTGATTCGTATATCATGAACACATTCTGAACATCTTGTACAGAAAGGCATTACGCGAGATTGTGAAGGCTACACGAACAGCCACCAATACAATCATATGTATCCCCGTGAGCTAAAGTGTGTATCGTAAAGGCGTCTATCTCCCATCGGACCTGGTTTTGTCGATGTCAGGGTAGTTTAGTTGGATCACAGAGACGTTGATGAAAGGATGCTTGTTGGAACGGGGCGGGCAGGAAGGGAAAGGATGAAGAGAGAGGGAGAGAGAGAGAGAGGTCTCTCTTTCCCGTGGATGGAAGCTAGAGTTATACAGCTTGTTATCGATCTTCGGAACATCTCTCGCTTCACCTCGGCGGAATCCTGCTCTTGCTCCTTCTTATGCTCCTTCTCTTACTCCTCCTCCTCGTCTTACAATCTTCTCTTCCTATGTATCCTATGTATCCCGTCTACGAGATGTCGCTACCTCTCAGATTCTTTGAGATTCGGATTTGAAACGTCTGCTTCCTTGTCAAGATCGATAAACGAGAAATTGTCATTAGAGATAGTTGTACATACAAATTTAATCCATCCCTTAATATACAATGTTAAGTAAATTTATAATTGATGATTAAATCAAAATATCAGTTAAAAAAGATCTCTGCTAGGTTGCTGTAAAATAGATAAAATTAGGACTAAGAATCTAGTATTTTATTTCTTATTTATCAGACTATGCCGTGCAATTAATATCAACATTTATCGTTGTAAATTGTGTGGAAGTTTTATAATAAGCTGAACATTATAAAGAGAATTTCTGAGACATATCGCGCATGTATCTTCTTTTTTCACTAAAGTTCTTTAATACAACTCGTTTCTGATGGATCTTCTTCGCTGCGATTGTGAGCTTTCAAGTCGAAAAGAAATCCACTTATTTCCAGATTGATCTCAGTCAATGTTGTTTTCTGGGTGCCACGGGCGACCGCCATTCGGTAAGGACAAATATCGCTGCTCTGTGATTTCACGTTTCGCCTGGCAGCTGCATCGTTCCATTCCGCTCTGCAGGTTCTATCGAGCGAGATATCATCGAGATATCATTCAACCGCATCACACGTAACACATGCATAGAGTTAGATATATCTCTAATATTATTTTAATATTATATCTAAAAAAACTCACAAAATTTAAATATTTCTTATTTTATATTTAAAAATATTCAATATTTTAAATTTTAAATATTACTTTGCATGTGAAAGTGTTCATCTGATAAAACAATGAGATACATAAAAAAATTATATTTGGCGATTACATGAATAAATAACGTAATATATCCCAGAAAACTGCTGCTATTTCTTTTTATCTTTGCATTGATCAAGTATAGTCTATCGACGATTTTTCTTGACTAAAATTTAACTTAGTTGATCCATCAGAATCGCGAATTAGACATGAAACTCTATGTATATAGATTAGAAGACAAATATTTCCCTCGACACATCGATAAACGAGACATCCACCTTGCTCGAATCTCGGAAGATATTTTCGTGACGAATATTCGATGCGAGAACTCCATTCGTACGAAAACCGAAAGCGATCTCTCGGTTTGAAGCAATGTGTTCGATTGTCATCGCTTGAAGGGCGAGTAACATCGGACGCGATTTCATGTGACAGCTGTTCCAAACCGAGAGGATTCGACTCCGAGATACTATGATATCGTTGGGCTCGACGGTATCTCACGAGAAATATTATCTCGTTGTTTTATGCTGAAACTGCGAGCGCTTTTCTTCTTCGTCCATTGGTGCCTGGTTTCTTTTGACCACGACCGCAAATCTCCCGCTTCGGAAAAGAGCTCCTTTATCGTTCGCCGGCTTTCAGGAAGAGGAAACTCGAGGAGGAGGCGGCGGCGGCGGTGCACTTGCACCGATGTCGTCTGTTCACCGCAAAAGAGCGATGGGCAAATAATGCTGGATGTGACTTCGTGTTCTTTGCTTCCAGCTGCCGCGACCGCAATCTCTCCGGGGCGAATCGCGCGATTATTCGTTTACTGTGCCGCGAGAAATTCTATTAAACCTAGGGAACTCGGGGGTCGCGAGGCCGAATGTAAGATTTAAGGATAAACTCATTTGTAAAATTGCTATTATGCCACATAATACTATGAAAAAAATGTTATCAGGCAAAATATTATCAAATATGCCATTAATTTTTATTTTTATTTATATATGTATATCTTAATAATTAAATTTGAAATATAAAACACTTTTAAATTAATTTCAAATTTAATAAAGAATAGAATCTTATTATTTATTTTACAGACTCGGAGTTTATTTCGCTAACACGTGTATGTATTTGTATATTAAAACAATTTTTATTTTTATTAGTTCAATCTCTCATATTTTCTATTAGAACGTATTTTATTATATTATTTAGTAAACTCACTTGAACGAACGTCGTTTTACATTTTCTTCGCTAAAGTCTTTTTGACAGCATGCATTTTTGCGAACTTCGCCGTTCAAAGTGAAACGTTTACCGACGTAAGGCTAATGTTCAACGCTTGTCTGAGTTATTAGCGGCTAATTAGTCATTTACTCGACACTCTACTGCTGTCGGGATCCACATGAAAAAAAAAAAAGAAAAAAGAGGAAGAAAGTAGCGCAAGAAAAGAGCGGTGCAGCGGGAGGAAACGAAGCTCGAAAACAGACGGGATGAAAAGGCGCATGTCGAGGGTGAGATGCACGGATTTATCATCATCCCTCGCTGATGCTAGTGCTCGCCCATACATTTTTCTTTCGCGGTAAATGGGAATGACGTCAACACGCGAGGGGACGACTCAATCAACCAAAATGCCCCGAGGTTTCTGCCGTGTGGCGAGTAAGGAAGGGAGAGAAAAAGGGCGAAAGTATGAGGGGCAAGAGCCGCAGGATAGAGGAAGAAACAATGAGAAACATCTCGTTTTATTCCCGAGACGAGAGAGAGAGCGAGATGTACGTCTGACAGATGGAGTAGAAACACGGTGTTATGTGGCTTTTAGGAACTTGGTCGCCTTGGAACTTCCGCCGTTTTTATTGTTCTCTTTGTGTGTATCCGCCTCTTTATTTTTTCCTCGACTACCGTACTGCTTGCCCCTTTATTTTTGGTCTCGATTCACATCGTCCGCGGAGGAAACCCGCTTCGATGCAAATAACTAGCTCGTTTCGACGATCTTCCCCGGATATTCTCATTCTAACGGAGGTATCTATTTTTAAACGGTATTATTCTCAAAAGACGTGGATCGTGTCTCAAGGAAAAAAATTAATTCAAACGCGATGGAAATAAAAAAATTTTTTTATCAAAACTACTGTAGAAATTTAATTTTATTTCTGATCGTATTATTATCACACATTTTAGCCATTTTTTAATCTAAAATTTTTAATAGCTGCTCTCATTTTACGAAGAGTATGTTTTTTTCTCTTATAAATTCTATCTTACTGCGCATAAAATCACGCTTTTCAAGAAAGCAATTTTTAAATAGAATTTTCTCTTTTGCTCGTTGATAGAAGACATCGTTTATTTTACATACACCCTGTATGTTCCGCGAAGCTTTGACATTTAAATCTGGTGCAACACCCCCCATGGAGGCGATTCGATTTACGTCAAGTCGACTTTAGCTATTACGCGAACGCGAAAGTGATTTAGCCGCACACACTGTATGAGAAGACGAGAATTTCGCGGGAACACCTGCAGCATTTATCGTCGGGATCACCTGCGAGAGGCTGGGTTTTCTTGCACGTGCACGGCCGAGATATTTTCAATTAACGACGCTGATCGTGCAGGAACGAAGAACACGGTGAGAGGAAAAGGGAAGACAGATGCGAGTTAGCTCGTCACCGGGTTGCCATGAAACTTATTACGCGATGAAACTGCTCTGGGAGTTAAAACCGCCGTATTTTTTAGGACCGATTTTTCCTTTGTCATAACTTTCGCATTGTTTCGTTATCGCAATGATACGTACTTACGTTTCTTCGTCCAACACAAAAAAAATTTGTCATTTTCTCTTTCTTCTTCTATTTCTTTGGATCGAAAACAAGGATTTCTATTTCCTATTTATTCGGATCGAAAACAAATCAAACTTTAATTTTGCATTCATTTTGCGATCTTTTATCAAAGTGGACTCGACATAATGTAATTTGCGACAATTCTCCAAAGCATAGTATATATATATATAAAATATAGCAATGTAATACCAATATAAATTGACTTTTTTAATGTAACAATAAAAATTTATATTATTTAGACAACTTTCCATAAAAATTTTAAAAATATAATTTTGCAAAGTATAAGTTTTGTATAGTATTTTATATCTGGAATATTTGGAGTATGCTTTAGAGAATTGTCGCAAATTACATTATGTCGAGTCCACTTTGATAAAAGATCGCAAAATTAATAGCCAAAGATACATATATCTTATTTACTTGTATACTGGATACTTCCGACGTCAATAGATTGAAGATATCAAACATGCTATATAAACATTGCTATATATGTTGTCTTAGAGTTAAAGATACTTCCAAATTCTATCAGAAAACAAAACATAATTATTAAGTTCTCGAAGGATTTTGTCTCTATTTGATTATTACTATTTGAAACATTTTCTTTCTATTGCAGGTGTACTAGTAGTAAACGTTACGTGGCGAGGTAAAACGTACGTAGGGACGTTACTGGACTGTACGCGTCACGATTGGGCGCCACCCCGTTTCTGCGACTCGCCGACTAGCGACCTAGACGCCCGCACACCCAAGGGACGCGGTAAGCGCGGTCGCGCAGCGGCCAACTCTACGCCCGGTAACGATCTGAGCAACTTCACGGAGACGAGGAGTTCCGTGCATAGTAAATTGCGCAACGGTGGCAAAGGTCGTCGGGGTGCGCAGGGATCACCCGCGGCCAGTCCGAGTCCGGCGGCGTTCGTGCCACCGCGACCGGATCCAGCGGCAAAGCGGAAGTCACGCGGACCAGAAGAGGAGCAGGACAAGAATAAACGACGGGCGCCACCGCCCACACCGCCTAGCGGTTCGCCGCCCGCCAGTCCGGTTTTGCTCGAATGCCCCGAACCGAACTGCAGTAAAAAGTACAAACACATCAACGGACTCAAATATCACCAGAGTCATGCGCACGGCTCTGCCGATGACGACGACACCAAGGAGGGTATCACTAGCATGTCGGAGAACGACGAGAGCAACATCGAGGCACCGAGTCCAGCTACGCCAGTGAAGTCGCCAGCGGACAAGCCCGAGGGCACGCCGGTGAGAGCGACGAGTCCACCGGCAGCGGGATTGCCACCGGAAACGCCGCCACCGCCACCGAGGGTGCCGTCGCCCAGCATAGAACCACCCACGCCCGTGCTCGCGGATAAAAATATCGTGAAGCCCGGCGTGCTGAGGTTTGGTCAGGATGATCTGCCGGCGCCTACTTCCACTGTATCTTCGTCGAGAGTGCAGCAGCAATCAGTGCAGCAGCAGCAACAGCAGCAACAGAGTCAATCATCGTTAGGCTCGTCGAATCCGCCCCAAAGTCCCAGCCCACATCCCAGTCAATCCCCTAGGCCTGTGCCTTCACCGCATCCAAGCACGAACATTCCCCAGCCCCTCAACATACCGCAACCGCCACAGCCCTCTCAGATGCAGCAATCGCATCAATCGCAAAATCCACTTCTGCAGCAGGCGCAGCAGACGTTGCAACAGGTCGGTCAACCACCGCAACAACAGTTGCAGCCTGGTGTTGGCAGTCAGCAGCAACAACAATTGCAGTCATCGGTTCAACAGCAGTTACCGCCAGCGCATCAATTACAATCGGTGTCGCATCCTCTGTCGGCTCAATTGGGTCAACCCGCGCAGGCTCATGTTGTCCAGTCTGCCGGGTTGCAGCAGCAGCAGCAGCAGCAGCAACAGGCCAGTCTACAAAGTATAGCCAGTCAGCATCCGGGTCTGCAGAATCTGACGAGTCAGGTATCGCAGCAGGCGGCGGGTCTACAAACGGCACCGCCACCGCCGGGTCATCCAGGTCAAAGCGTACAGTCACATTTGCAGCAGTATCCGTTGCACGCGGCAAAGATGCCACAGTTTAAGGTGAAGCCCACGGCGGCACTGATGCCAGAGCAAGACAAAAGCAAGACGAGCACCGACGCGCGTGTTTCCAAGCCGCAGGGCTACAAGAAGAAGTCGCGAAAATCGCCTGGCGGTAGTCCGCACCCATCGCCGCTCGAAGCGCCGATTGTTGATTCGGCGCGCGACGATGTACAAAGTCCGGCCTATTCGGACATATCGGATGACGCGGCGCCGGTGCTCGAAGCCGAACCGGCAGATAAGTCCAAGCAGAGCCAAGAGAAGGACAACAAGGCCACGGCACCGGCGCATTTGCCTGCTCACTTCAGTATGTATCCGTACTACGGTCAGCCGCCTTATCTGGTGCCTAGCGTACCGGATAGCAAGCCGGTGGTAGATCAAAAGCCGAGCGATCTTACGCCCAAACAGGAGATCAAACCGCTCAATATACCGCAGATGCCTTCGATGGCGAGTTTACAAAGC